GCGACTATTGGGAAAGCACCGAAAAACACTTTATTTCCTATCCTTTTCCACGGTCGTTTTAGAAGATCTTTTCGTTTTGTACAGTGCTTCCGGAGCCGCAAGTCGCACGGCAATACGGTTATGCGTGGCTTTAAGCAATACCTCCAAACGATTGCCGCCCGCGCGAACGGCGGTTTGATACAAATTCTACTTTGAAAGATATATATTTTTTTTTTTTACCAAAGGATATTTGCTCGCATTATTATGCCCGTTCCATCCATCCGTGTACGGTATACATGTAGTAAGTATAATAGTAGCTACCGTTAGCGACACGACCAATCGATGCATGCGCTTGTATAATAAAACGTCGTCAGAAAAAAGCCATTTTGGTCCGCACTATAATGGCAATGACGAGCGTTTCTTATTTTCCCTCATAAGCGTTTACACCGCGACTTTTGTTCCACCCGGAAAAACCGCAGACTAATATAACGCTCGAACGATCTCTTTAAAAAAAAAGAAAAAAACACCTTCCTATTGGTTTACCCGTCCAAAAAGGTCGCTACATTAATATGTAACAGGCACAGCGATCGGGGCGTGTACAACAACTATATTGTTGTTTCATATTTGTCCGAAAAACAAATAGTGTACGGAGAATAAAACGAGCAATAGGATCAAGAAGTGGACGGAACAAAAATAAACCGAACGCCCTTATTATTTTGAGATATTAAATTTCATCCGATGTTTCTGCCCGTTCGTCAAGTCACGCGAAAACATTCAACTCGGATGTCGTTAGACTCAATCCGCCGGAAACGGAAGAAAACGAAAATCAGATTCGCGAAAAACGTTCGCCTATAAACTGCATTATTGACAAATGCCATTGGAAAGATGGTAACAAAAAAAAAAAAGTAAAAATAATATTATGTTTATAGATATCTGAAACGTCGTACAAAAAATAATTGCAATTTCGTAAAGTACATGTAAGTTTTTTATGACAACCATAATTTTTATCCACTTTTTTAGCTAGATACCGGGTGGGAAATATTTTAATCGGAAAAATAGTCTTTGCATAACTTGAAACCAATCAATTTATGTCATTAATGGCCGCGTGCAGTGGTAAATTTCTCAATAAAATATACATTTAACAACAAATTATATCTAATGAAATTAATTACACATTATAAATTACAACTGTTATTTAATCTTTGACACATATATATTTTTTTATTTTTATTTTTAAGGTTATTACAACTTACAATTGAAAAAATGGACGCGCTGGAAAAAATCGAATGCCAGGAAAAAAATTGTATACAATATACTAATTATTTTTTTGAAAAAATTAGGAAAATCCTATACAGAAAAAAATGACAATGATTTCAAAATGTTGTCAACTTTTTTTTTTTCGTATAGATGGTACAAAACAGTGTTTTTTGTAACTTTAAAGATGATTTTAAAAATCAAGCAAAAGATCAAAATAATATAAGTGGCCACATTCCGACTAAGCGAAAATTTTTGTAATTTGGTTTTAGTTTCAAATTTGTGTTGTACTGTGTTTGTTTTTATAAAAAATAAATAGATAACAATAATAATATAGATACAGCATATTAAAACCCTGAAATACCTTATGTCACCCCTGTTTTAGATAAAGTATTTCGACATCTTCATGTCTTAGCTCTGGCACATAGCCGAAAAAAGCGTTATCAAAAAAGCGTTCTTTACAAAAGCGTAACAGGGGGTAGGAGATAAGAGATATGTTGTACGTTCAACGTTCAAATTGGAACTAAATGATAAATTCAAAATAGTTTTAGGGCCCAAATTCTCTATGAATTGTTTTAAGCCAGACATTAAACACTACAATATTAGCTAGAAACTTGATGTTTTCATATACTAGCTTGTTACTGCTTCTTAATATACTATATCATTATGTATAATTCCACTACTGCTCTAAATTTATCTCGGTACTTCAACGAGACGTGTAAATGCTCTTTCGTGGTTGCAGACTCGGCTGAAAAAGTTTTTTCAAGTGCTGTGTACGTTTCAATTATCTATAGATTTGCAGTATACATATACATACACATATTTTTTCCACCTTTAACATACATTTCAGCCCAAAGAACAAAAAGAAATTGCGTTTAATAGGTCGGTGGTTTAGCGTTCAAGCGTATACGTTTCTCTAGGGCAGACCTTCGATGGGGTATGCCCCCGGTATGTATTTTAATCAGCATGACGACAGTATCACAATTATGATTTCCACGGCAAGACGTTTCCATAGCACGCGGTCTGTAAAATATCCGCGACACCAGTGTTTTTGTCTCTCTCTCTCTCTCACACACAGACACTTTTTGATGTGTAACGTGACACACAAACCCGAAATTAAGCGTAACGGCTCAAACTCTGTTTCCGGCTTATTTAGACACAATAAACAAGTGAATAGTCTAAGGCAAATTTTTCCCGTTCCATTCAAATTGTTTACAGTATAAAAATGCAAGTATATCACAATGAATAGTCTCGCCTGTAGACCGAATCGGGTCCCGCGACTAGCGTTAGGTCGACCTGCTCGGTTTATAGTAGGAAATGATGAAACTACACCAATGTATGGAGACTCGGAAAATAATACAATGTTTGGACAAAGTAATTCAAACGCAACCGAAAAATATTACTGTATGTAGGTGGAGTACCTGCACAATTTCGGGGTTTCATAAAAAGTATAGCGTTACAAAAAAAAAAAATAAACCAGAGTTGATAGGTACACGGAGTGTTTGTAGTGTATGATTACACACCAATAGTTTTTTGAAACCGGTCTTTTTGCCGGTCAACGCTCTGTACACGCCGACGAGGCGTTGATACCATGCCGAGATTGTTTTCATGAAATATTTGTTGCAAACCGTCATTAAAATCTGGTCGAATAATAAAAATATATCTCACCGTTTCCATGAAATTATAGCATACAAAACTGAACGCACGGTGCTGCACGTACCATGTTAAATGCGTTAGTGATAAGAGAGCCGACAGCAAATATTTAAATCTTTTTAGCCCGGAAATTAAAAATTCAACGGCAGTTTTCTGCGAGCGAGGCAACAGACTGACAAACTTAACATAGTCAGCCTGGTGCTAATTGAGCCATTTAAAAAAAAAAAAAAAACTATTTGTACACTTCATTGAATCGTGTTGTCCACAAAAAAAAAATTACCGTAACAAGTGATAAACCATTTTATTTGGTGCGAATTGCATGGCGAAGTTTTTTCGCCGATAAGGCTGTGCTTAAACGACGGTTACTCTCGAGCCATTTGTCAACCGTGTACTGTATACTTTGGAGTCTTAAAGGTGTTTAAACGTCGGCGGCCCTTGATTCTCTTAAAATCCATTACTCCCTTTTTGTCGGCCTACCTCTCTGTCCGTAGGGTATTATGAAATGAAATCACGCACACTTTGTTATGTAAAGTGCACATAGGTACTGTTATTACAGCGCATATAATAACAGTAATATACGTTCGTAATAGAATTGACACCTCATAAAACTTACCCGAAGCATAACACGCGTAGGTACTTACTTCGTAATTCGTTTTATTTTTGTAAACAAACAGGCACGGCGCCAGAATTTTTTTCCTAGGGGGGCGGGAAAGGTCAAGTGAATTTTTTGAAGGGGCAACCACAATAATTTTACCTACTTCTGTCAATAAAAAACAATTATAATGATTTATCAGTGAATGACTTTAATATTTATCAGTGAAATAGTATAAAATATGAATTTATTACAGATTAAGGGACAATATATACTAGTGTACAATTTAAGTAAGGCAACTTTTTTAAATAAGCGTTATTTTTACCTGTCGGCCATCATATAGCTCTTATTGTACTCTATGAAAGTCGAAGTAAAAATGAAGGCTTATAAAACGCCTAACAACCCGTCAGTGGAGATTATAGTTATCGTGTTATACCTACATTCTATTAAACCAAAACAATCCGTCAATAAACACTGAATTTTTGGAAAACACAAACGTAAATATTATAATTATATATATATAAATATACACCAAAACACATAATTATATGGGCGACGGATTATTGATAACCGATTGCAAAAACACTCAAAATATATTGATAAAAAAAGGCCAAATTTAGTGGCAATGTCATAACTAATAACAAAATTTGTATAGATAAACAGGTTTACATCAAAACAACAATTGTTTTCACAATTTCCGTAATAACTAAATTTGTATATATAAAAATACAGTAATTCAAAATCTGGGTTTTAGGAAAGTTACTTAGGAATAATAATCAAATATTTAAAATTATACTATTTAGCAAAATATCTGGGGGGGCGAGAGAAGGGCAAGAATTTGTTATGAGGGGGCGACCGCCCACCCTCGCCCCCCCTTAGCGCCGTCCCTGTAAACAAATATAATAAAAAAGGTAAACGTGATGACATATGTTTTCTAAGAAAATATCCAATTTTGCCGACAGTTAATTATTAATACAAAAAAAAAACAGTAGTATAAACATAGCGAATCGTTTTTGAAAAAAACTTTATATTATGTTTATTTTCTAAACTTTATATCAAGTTTATTTTCCAGTGTTACGTTTAGTTACTTTTAAATTATTATTATTTCCTTTTGTTTAGATTTTTTTTTATACCCGACGAATATCGAATTGAACAACACTCGTATGTTTGAAATGTGTTTTTTTTTTTTTACAATAAGTTATTATTTTGCTACACGAGTAACACAAGCAAGTTATTACGTGTTGTAAAAAATGAAAGGTAAAAGACGTGTAAATTACATATTATATTTGGAAGGATGTGATATACATTTCCGAACGTAGTTGCTACATAACAAAAATACAAATATGTAATATATCATCGATATTGCCGTTGTAAATGTAATTTTCAAATATATTCAATTGTACCATAAGATGTAATTTTATAGATACATTGTGATTTATAGATGTATCAATACCTACACTTCAACATACGAGTAGATAATAATATTATACGAACATATCTGTTATCAATAATAATCACTCACCACCGGGCACGCAGCCATTCTTGGGTGTCACGTTCAATATGCGTTGTACCTCGCCGGCTTCACTGCCCGATTCCGAACCAGACTGCTGGTACTGCGGCGGCCACCATTTCTGCTGTTGTTGCAGTTGCCGCTGGTATTGCTGTTGCTGTTGACTGCGGACCGTACCATAAACGGCGGTGGACGAATTGCGTTTCGGCACGGGCGGCAGCGGGCGTTCGGCCGTAGACGCTGGCGAACCGGAGTCCGGCGTCCGTCGGCGGGTGGGCGGTTGCGGCGATGGGCCTTTTTTCGTCGGCCAGTACACCGGTTCCGACTGGCCCGTCGGTTGCGGCGGCGAGAAACTCACCCTTTTGGGACTGGCCGGCACCGGACCGACCGTTACCGGGGACGCGCGTTCCGGTTGCAACGTTCCCCTTTTGAATATCGGCTGAAAGCGCTTCTCGTCCGGTCGACGGCCGCCCATGCTGTTGCAGTCATCTTCCTCGTAGATAGTCGACTGCCTGGACGACTCGCGGACGCATCCGATGGTCGCCCTCTGCGGCGAATTCCTCACGAATGGACTGCAAGTGTTGTCCTGGGCCGCCGTCGCGTTGCCGTAAATGGCCGTCGGATGTTGCCGAACGGTGTTGGCCGGTCGGGGAGGCGCCGTGATCTTCACCTGGGCGCTTACCGGCATTAGGAGTCGCTGGTCGGTACGGTTGTTGTAGTACTGCGAGTACGGTACGATGGGCGCCGACCGCCTGCCCGACTGTCTGCTGTCGTCGGACGCAGTCGACTGAAGCGAACACGTGCTGTCCACCCGACGGCGGCCGTACAAGTTGGCGTTTACGTCCCGGTCAAACGATCCGGGACTAACGCTTCTCGACCGGAAGTCCGTCACGTCGACGGACCTCTGTTGCTGTGATTGTTGTTGTTGGTACAACCCAACGTTGCCGTACGTGGCTGCCGCGTTGTTGTTGTTGACGAACGCCGTCTCGATAATGGTCTTTTGCCGAAGCGGCACCGTACCGGTGCCAGGCGCCGGAACCTCCTGTTTGTTATTGTTTTTGTGCTTTTGGCCGTCGCCGTGCACAAATATGGCCGGCGACAACAATCGCCGAATGCCGTTAGTCTTCTTCTTGTTGTCCACGGCCGAAGGCGGCATGCCGTTAGAGTCGGATGTCGCTGCCGCCATGACACTTGGTCCCATATTCCGCATACTCTTTCGTCAATCCGATGGCATAACCTGTAATTATTACATCGTTGAGGTAAATAATTAATATTTCATGCATTTGTAGATAAGTATTAAATACTTATAAGTAATATATGAATGTAATTAACTTTTATGAAGTAAAATATGTCGTATTTAGTCGAATAACCGTTACAATTTAACGGTTAAATGATAAAAAAACAATCTTTATGTACTGGCAAAATGCAATTATTTGTACGGTATTTTAAATCCCGCTTTATTATTAACGAACTGTAAGGTTTAACCCTACAATACATGATTCTTTTTTTTTATTAAAAAATTGTTTTTCAATAGTTCTAAAACTATAGAATACGTAAAAAATAATTTTTTTTTTTATTTATTTCACAAAAACAATCTAAAAAATAATTTTAAAAATCTATTTTAATTTTAAAAGTTGAAAAAGTTGGTTGTTGCTGTAAAGCAACATTATGCATTTGTTACTTCTGCATCCTAACATTAGTATATATTTATTTTTGAAAAACTTCTTACATGAATACGTTCATAAATTTAAGTCGAAGGCTATCAATGAAAGTCGATCATAATGAATAAGAATAAAAAAACTTGGAAAGCTTATTATTCGGCTACTATCTCTAATATCAGTTATGCTATCAGATATCGCCGCTCCGGTAAAACAATGACCTAACTGCAAAATTTGGTAAAATGGGCTAAATGCTTCAATGTGTTTAAATATATCGAACGCATAATGTAACAAAACGATGTAACTGTAGTTGTAATAATCGGGTTGGGGGAAAAGAGCGTTACGCTGGTATCTGATAAGAGATATGTTGTATTCACAACGTTCAAACTAGAACTGAAAAAAAAATTCAATAATTTAAAAGGTCATATTCCTATGAATTGTTTGTTTTAGGCCAGATATAATGAAAACACCAAAATACTAGCCACTTAAGATACATGAAAACACTCTTTCGTGGTTGCGGACTCAGCTGAAATTTTTTTTTTTTAATTTTTATCAAGTATTGTTATTATGGATGTAGGTATAGTTGCCATTCATTTTAGATTTTCCGGATTTTAAAAGGAAGGTATGAACTTTAACATTCCAAGGTATCAACTGTCAATAATTATATAATCTGATCTATTAATGTTTGAATTCGAGTTATCCAAAGAAATACTGTCGCCAGGCACAAAAAAAAGAGTACCTACGCGTCGTGGTTAAATCTATGTTTTCTTAGCTTTCCTCAATTTAGTTAAAAACCGATTTGATATTGATGCATACGCATAGGTACCTACTCACAAAAATTAAATAATAAATGCAAAACTACAGGGTTTATTTAAAAAATAATATTTATCACTTTACAAATTAGATATTATATATATATATATATATATACTTTAATAATTCCGTATAATAGCGATGGCAAACAATTATTTTGCATTTAATACAAAATGTGACTAAGTACTTGGAGATTAAAGGTAGTCATGTGTTCAACGTACGGCTGTGGTACAATACAATGGTAAATGATAAATGATAACGCAATTTATTTTATTATATTATGCTCCATGCTGCAATAAAGTCGGATACAGAACACAATACTGCGATACAAGTCATTCAAGTTTACGGTCTATAGGGTTTTATGGCCTCGACTGTAACAATATTTCGCATATAATAAACTTTGAGTATTTCCTACGTCAATGTGCAACATTGGCAAACGAGTGATATTAAAAAGAAAAAAATGTATCTCTTTTAGCCATACAGTTTTAAACCCAGTAAAAGTAAATTTAACTATCAACCTAATTGTAAGCCTATCCTAACCGTTTTGTTATATATTTTGGCTTCAGACACAAAAAATGACCACAAAAAAATGCATATTTCAAATAAAATATACACTAGCGCTTATGACCTAACCAGCCAATTTAAAAAATGCTTTATCTCCCAAATAATTTGTATTTTATGATACATACGTAATGTTATTAAAATGTTTTAAACTGTTTATAGCCAAATATGTTTTAAATACATTTTTTTAACATTAATTAAACCTATAATTTGTTGTCTAGGATATATTACCAGGTAAGGTATATAAGATATAATATTGAATACATTATAAGATTGTCGGTAGCAGCAATCTTTTCATATTTAAAAACTACTAGATCAGTAGAAGATACCAAAATATCAAATATCAATGTAAAGTATTTCCCATTGCTATTCAGCTATTAAATAAAAAAATGTTTTGATTTTTGTTTTTTTTACTAAAACAGGTCTACTGGGTTTATTTGAAGTATTAAAAAAAACGCCATAAAAATGTCTACCAACAAATGTTGATGTTTTAATGATCGCATATAAAATATCTAAACGTACCTAATGAAATACCTGCTAACATTTTACGGAAAGAATGCCTAAACTAATGAAACACCAAGTATCAACGCACTTAAACAGCTGTTCTGTACTCATTTATGTCTGATGTTAATACTCTTAATAACACATGCGTGTAATTAACAATTACACTTAAAACAAGTCATTAAATTCAGCTCTATTAAGTGTTTCATGTGTTTTTAATTGGAATTAAGTATAGACAGTAAATAGCATTCTCTTGTGTTAAATGATAATATACCGCTGAAATGTTTTTAATATAAATTTGTATAATATTATTTATTTACGTACGTCAAGAACAAGTTGGATGTATTTACTGTCTGATAATAAAATGATCATTGAAATGACTGATTAGCTATAAGTATATAGTAAATAAGTAGATAAAATAAAATTTCTGGTAATTTATTTAGTATTAAGTATCAGAATAGGGCAAATGTTTAATATGACTTCAGAATTTTTTTTTCTTTCTCTATCCTATTTACGGTTTATGATTACGCGAAGACCACATAGCTGACGTACAAAAAAATCATAATTTTGTGGCCGCCGGTAGAATAGATTACCAACTTGAAAAATGTTAATGTGTAAGCTTTAAATGCCGTCTTCAATAAATTGTTTAAAATATAACAGACAAGTAGAAATCAAGAACTAGTATATAGATGGTAATAATTTAGCTGGATAAAAAAATAACACTAACTTGTTTACGTTTTTACTCTGAAAGAAAATGTAATAATAGTAGAGGTACACCTAATAAGCATGACACGATAAAGATAAATTGTAAAATATCCTTTAATCTACATTAATTTTTCAAGCTTAAACTTTTCAAAAAAGGTCGATCATAGTTACAAATATGTGGACATTTATTTAGTAAGCTCTGCTTAAAATAAAACCATAAGTTCAATGTCCATTAAAACCCTACCTCCCGAAACATATGTAAGCAACAAATTGATCAACTTAAATAGTATCATTACAAACTTAGGGTTGTTAGGTTTGTGTTGAATTGATTTTATCACATTCAAATATAGTATAATCTCCAAACCCTTATATCGTGGTGACTTTTTTGGTATTTTTGTAGAAGAATTATGTTATGAGATGTCCTTAAACTGACAAAACATAAACTTTTATCATAAAAATGACAAGTGTGCGTTAAATATGAAAATTCAAAACGTTGGATATAATGAGATTAATTTTAACGCAAAACTGCGGTGGTATTTTACGGCATTGTCATTTTGCACCTGAACTTTTAACGCTTACCAATAGTACACCCTTCCATTTTGTACTTTATTATATATATATACAGAAAAAATAGTAGCAGACACGACACTTGCAAACTGAATGACTAATAAATTAGCTACAGGAGCAATAACTCAGATTTTCCGTCACATAGAGTGTAACAGTTATGTGGTCGGTTGGTCGACTGGAGATGTGTGGTAGAATAGACTTCCCTGAACTGACATAAGGCAGTTGACTACTTAGTGGTAAAAATGACGTGTGCTTTATATGCGTGTTTAAAGCTTATCCAGGTTTTCTAAAATTCGTATTGTAAAATAAAACTGTCTAAACATCGTTTAATAACGACTGTACGTGTCGAAACAGTCAGCTGTATCAAAATTTTGTAATGAAAAATCGTTAACGCAACATTTTTTTATTGCAAAGTAAACAATTAAATTACAAATATAAGACTGCTAAAATGTCATCTATAACAAAGACTTCCCAAAAAATCTCCCAAATACTTAAACTAAATTACAATTACATTTATATTACATTTTTGGAAAAATTACAATTACAGACATATTTACACTTATTATTTATTGTTACCAGGATCTTTTTAGGCGACGAGGAGGGTTATCTGGGATTGTGTGGGAGGACAGATTTTTTAATAAGAGGGTTTGGATGATTTTGGAGACGGTTGTGAAAGAGTTTACATCGAGAGATAGCAGTTTGTTTTACAGTAGGAAGGTAACAAAATGTATTATTTATTGATATAACAAATTATTATATTTTATAAACCACAAATTTTCGACTATATAAGTATCAGCTTTTTCCATATATAATTTTGTCGATATTATGACCTTATTTAAACATACCAGGACGAATATTTTATTACAGCATTTTATTTTACCAGGATAAATATTTAATTTAAAATGTTACTGAACTATTGGTTAACATAAAGATTCTTTTTTTTTTTACTTAAATCTGAGACAATGTCTTAAATGGATTTATGCTGATAATGTTTCATCTCTTTGTTCGCTCAAAAATGTAAAAATTTGCCTATTCAATCAGTTAACAATTTTTTTTTTTTTTGTTAATAATTATAATGATATTCAATGGCGTGTACAACAATAATATTCAGTCGTCTCACAGTTTACTAAATCTGGACAAACAACAACACGGCGTGTTGAAAAAATATAGACGGCTGTTTCTCAGGATCACAACTCATATAATATATGATATCGGACTCAGAGCTATTTTACGATAGTTGGCTTTTGGGTTAGTGCACGTTTTACGGAGTTAAAAAATCCAGCACAAGGTTACAAAGAATAGTGGTCGGTGATAATTCGCAGAAAGAATCATTAAAATATTATTATTATACCACATAAATGGCGATTCGTCCGCCTAAAATCATAATAAATAATTTGTCCTTACGTCGACCACCGATCCATTGTGACCGAAC